CTGTCGCTCCACTTTGTGGGCAAATCTTAGCCCACGAACTCAGCCCTCGAGCCTGTTGCTCCACTTCGTCGTCAGATCTCCTCCCTCAAGCTCAGCCCATCCGTGTCCTCCCCTCCTCCGCCCCCGCTTTCGGCTCCTCCGTCTCCTCCCCTCTGCCCGCGAGAGCTGTCGTCTCCTCCCCTCCTCCGCTCGCGAGAGCCACAGCCCCCCGCAAGTTTCTCTCCTCTGTCTCCTCCTCTCCTCCGCCATAACCAGCCCGCCATCGCCTCCGCCGGAGCTCACCTTGACCTCTTCACCTGCCCTATTGCTCAATTTCCCTCTTCGTTGTAGTCATAGCCCCCAAGTCATGGCTTCGAATAAATTGTAAGCGTTGACGTTTTCGATTTCTTCAAAATCAAAGTCTTCCTCCTCTAAATGCAATAATCCTCCATCTTCGTAAGTAAATTTTTTGATGTTCTTATGTCAGTTGTCGCGTCTCAACAAGGACCATATGTGTTTCATATATTTCTAATGTAATAGTTCATTTTTTTCTCAAAGTCAATTCAATATCGTAATTTTTTTCTAAATGCAGAACCTTAGATTGTGGGATCTTTATGATTGAATTTATTAACATCATTGTCGAAAAGCGATCGATAACAATCTCAGAAGGAGATTATGTAAAGTACAGAACAAAGTTGTGCAGCTCTCTTGTATGATGGCGATTCACCATTTTTGTAAATATTGTTTTACTTTTTTCCTTAACAAAATTTTATCATTGTCTTTTCTAATATTTGTCATTCATATCTTCTGTTTGAAGTGTTTTCTGGAACTCAAAATACACGCCAGATCTGTAATAAAACTACAAGAAGTGTGCCAATGTGTGAAGCTAATGATCTGCAATGATGATAGTGTTATAGTTTTAATATAATTAAGTTTCTTAAGTTGTTTGGTCTGTGTTCATTCTCATTGTTTATGACATCGGTGATAAATTTGTCATCAAGTGATCAGGATGCTATTCAATATACATGTTGAAAGGCGCCTAAAGCAGTTACTGAACTTGAAAGTTATGGATTACCATTCTCTAAAATAGATGATGGGAAAATATATCAACGTGCTTTTGAAGGACAAATTTTGAACATTGGACAAGGCAGAGGTTCACAACTTTTGCTATAGCATTTCCAGTTAGATGATTATCCATACTTTATTTGTAACTCTTATTTTTGAACATTGGTTGTTGTGTATGCAATATGTGGATGATATTATGTGGATGATTTTATGTGGATAAGTGGAAGTAATAGGATGTTCATTGTAACTCATTGTTTATTAAATATACTCGTTTGATATTATGTGGATGATATTTTGTAACTCATTGTTCTAGGAAAAATTTTGTACCTACTAATTCAAGTTTTGTAACTCAATGTTCTGGAAAAATGTTTTGTACCCACTTATTCAAGTTTTGTAACTCATTGTTCTGGAAAAATATTTTGTACCCACTTATTCAAGTTTTGTACCCACTTATAAAAGTTATGTAACTCTTTAGCCTGGTTTTGTACTCACTTATGCACGTTTCGTAACTCATTGTTCTAAAAAAAATTCGTACCCACTTATTCAAGTTTTGTACCTATTGGGGAAAAAATTTGTACTCATTTATTCAAGTTTTGTACCCACTTATTCAAGTTTTGTAACTCATTGTTCTGGAAAAAAGTTTTGTATCCACTTATTCAAATTTTGTAACTCTTTAGCCTAGTTTTGTACCCACTTATGCATGTTTTGTAACTCATTGTTCTGTAATTTTTTATACCCACTTATTAAAGTTTTTTGTAACTCTTTACCCCAGCTTAGTTCAAATTATCACATTATATCGAAACACATGATGAATCCATAAAACCACATTATTAACTTGCAAACTTAAGGTACACATGGTTGAAAGAACACATAATTGCATCTACATGTCCATAGTTTTGACTCAAATTATCACATTATACTGAAACACATGATTAATCCATACAACCACATTATCAACTATGCAAACTTAATGTACACACTTTTCAAAGAAAACATAATTGCCTCCATACACTTTTTCACAATTATTCTGAAACACATGATTATTTTTAAAACAAAATGAAACCCACTTTATATGGTAATATAACAAGAAAATTAAATAATCTACAAGTGCAAGTGACAGTTTTTGGATAAAGCCCATCAATCATACGGATCTATCTCTAAAATAAAATCTTACTATGTTTTTTGATAAAAATGGTGGAAGCTAAAAGACTACTATTACAAGCCGCAAGTCCAGCTTAACTTGTACAGAGACTTATCATGAAATCTCCCTTTATATGGTACCCTAAAATGTCATGGCAAGGTGCAATACCCTGCCATCATTAGACTATCAAATGGTAGTTCAATCCGAGACGGCCTCCTCAGGCTAATAAGCAATATGATCAGCCCACGGAAAACACACACAGTGGCCAATTATAAGAGTTGTGGGTCTAAAGATAATTTGTCAGCAAGAGAATACACACATAATAGCCTATCATTCAAGTTTGTTGACCTAGAAAAACTAGTGGCTTTATCTGCACAAGATGTAGAACATGATTGAAGAGGGGATGCGAAAGTTCTTAATTCGATGATATAAGTGTATTGCTATAAAAGGCTCTGTAAATCCTTTAATCAGATGCAGCTAGGAAGAATATTTTCTATAACACATTGCACCCAGAAATTTATCAATATATTTAACCACACAAAATATCATAAGTATAATCACCGTCTGTACCGTAAAGAATCAACTACATTCAACAATTAACTCTTCTAGTTCTTAAAAACTCATTTCATACTCTCGATTGAGCTCTATAACTTACTTTCATGGTGAATTAAAAACATTTTTATAACATGCCAGAATCAATCCTTCTACATGAGCACAATTTACTCTTTATAAAATTACACATACAAACGGTAGAAAGTACGAGCAGAACTGACCTAACAATCTCGATTCTCATTGCAAGACCTTGCAAATATCCTCATAATCCACAGCCTGCAACACCCTTCCATCATAAATCCCCTTCTCAATCTGCACCTTCGCACAAAACCTCTCTGTATTGACCGACAAAAGCCTCGCATTCGATCCCCTGTAAGCCCCGTTCACAATTCTAATGATCCCTCCAACCTGTGGAATCACAGTCTCAAGCTCCTCCTGATCAACCCTCAACACATGCTTACTCCCCAACATCTCGATCTCACCAACATACTTATCAATAACCCTCTTCACAACTCCCTTCTGTTTATAATACCCTTTCTCCTTCAAAGTCTTGCTCATTACTTTGACTACAATCCCTTCAAATAACCAATAATCCTTTCGATTGCTCCTCTCCTTCGCCTTCTCCTCCTCCTTCATCAACTCGTCCAACGCCGAAGACCCAACAGCCACACTCTTGCCCTTTTTAGCGCCTCTTTCCGATTCCTCCGCCGCCTCCTCAAACCCCAATTTCGCGCTTCCGGGCGCAGGCTTCTCCGCAACGTTCGAAGAGGGCTGAATCGCAAACTTCAACTTCTCCAACGGCTTCTCCGTCAGCGGCTGAGGATCCGGGTTAGGGTTCGAGCTCGAAGGCGGTGCCGTCGCCACAGCACGCGTTCCTCCTCCGCAAGATCCGACCTTTGCCGCTTATTCTTCATCTTCTCCTTGAAAAGAGTCTCCGAATCCCGATCAATGTAAGTGATGAACCACCCCTTCGGCGTCTCCTCGACCTTGCACTTCCCCGTCCGCCCGAGGTACTTGACGAACTCCGTCAGCGTCGCCCACTGAGTCGAGTTCATATGGACGTGGTGCCTGTCGGCGATGTACTCGTTGTAAACGACGGTGGCGGCGATGCGGGAGAACCGGT